AGTCAGCAGGTTTTTGAATTTTGACCCACAATAGAAAAGATAGCAGGAGACATGGGAAATAGATGGAGGCAATTATAAATAAGTCTGTGATGGATGGTTGACATTGTTAGGGCCTCAAGTGTATGTCAGCTTGCAATGGTTCTGCATTCCCCTCACTGCCACTGCTGTTGCCATGGGCAACGATGTGTTGAAGCCAATAAAAAGCAGAGGAAACAAGGGAACGCTCAACCTTGGAGGAAGCTGGAGGTTACGTGCTATAAATTATGTCACACTTCACAGTGCATCCTATCAAAATTCAGGAAAGCTTTATGGAGCTGCCAGCAACCCCCAGTCAATCATGGTATCTGTCTTTTGCCATAAAGCACATATTACATAAATAAGTCTCAGACGAATTCCAAGTATGCCATCCCACCTTTTTATTTATTACTGGGGAAAGAGAGAAAAGTGGTGGAGGAATAACAGAAACAAGTTAAAAGACTACGAGTATTTGTTTAGACAATAACATAGATCTTCCATTTCCTTACGTGTCCTATTCCCTCTGGAAAAAGAATTAAGAAGTTCCATCATCTTGTATTTTGTTCAAGTAACATTTTAATTTAAAATATTGAGAGTGGGGTAACATTTGCATTATAATTGACTGAAAATGTCACAGAACGGAGAAACCTCCAACTTCTCCAGAAGACTTCACCAAAGTGAATAGTACTAAAACCAGGGTTGGGAGAAAGCATCAAAGGATGTCATTAATATGATAAAGTATAGTAGAGATCAGATTATAAAGATTCAGATGGTCTGTCATGTGTTCCTAGAAGTACAAAATGCTACTACAATTTCAAAATGGGGTGATGTAATAGACAATCTGCTTTTTTGAATCTTGTGCTTAGATATTTATGTAGAAGATGGCAGATATCTACAGTACCTGCTAAGAGAATCAGAATTCAATTCCCTATAAAGGAAAAAGTATAAAGTTTTCCCATTACAATTATATCCTATTTGCAGTGTTTTTCAAGACAATCTTGCATTTATTTGAGTCAGGTAGTTCTATGACTGAGAAATTTTAAATTTAATAAATATGTATAATATAGCTCAGCATGCATTTATTTGCGGCATTCAAAGTGCCAAGATTACTGACATTCCTAGTCTGAAAGAAGCCACTTTTTCATGATTATACCAGCTTTCCTTAACTGAAAAGTAACAAATTTATATTAGATGTATAACATATTTTAGAGGCAAATAATTCTATCTGCTCTGTTTAGGCCAAAGGAAATTCCCTCAATTGTGTATATAGTTCAGTCCACATCTGAGCGAGGCCAGTATCACAAACATTTCTTAGTATGCTCCTTTAATTTCATGCATTGTTTTACAGTTTCTTTAAAAAAATAGAATCCATATTTCGTTATGCAGTTTCATATATATGTATATATGTGTGTATAGAGTTTCCTGATAGGGTTTGGGAAAGGCATACATTTTCCAAATATTTTTTTTTTGTATGCATCTTTGGAACCAAGAAATATTTGAAAAGATTTCTTCACACTGGAAGTCCTTTTGCATTGTGACAGATTCTATTTTGGTGAATGCTTCCATTTTACTTTAAAAAGTAAATAATGACATGTTTCACCCTCTTTAACACTTATCCTCAGTGTTTTACCTATACATTATCATTCAATAGATCTGCACTGTAATTTATATGCGGTGAGGAAAATTTTTCCCTTAGTGACTGACTTGAGATATAACTCCTGTAGAGCAGCCATTGGATCTCTTCCTTGTACTTTTCCTTAGCAAATTAGTGATTTATTCACAGCATTTAAATGGTTTTCTGCCTAAATCTTGATGGGTATAATTGCAAAAATTCCACTACAGCAATATATTTATCTTTAGGTTAAAAGACTTCATTTCTATTCACTTGGAGGGTCTCAATAAAGTTTGTCAATAATAAGAAAAAATTGTTTTAAAGTTCCCTCAGCAGCTTGACAAGCATTTAATGAACTTCCAATAGCTATGAAATGAGATATGAATAGAAAGAGAACATTGTGTAATTAAGCCATTAGCAGATTACGTGTGGTTTGAATTAAAAGGCATAGACAGATAGAGATTACGCTACCCTATCTATACTATAGGTTTCCTGAGGGAGGAAATGGAAAAGAACCTTTCCAGAACCATTTCTTTCCTGTCTATCTATGAAATATTCAAGGTTGGAAGTCCTAAACCAGTGATGGCAAAACTTTTAGAGACCGAGTGCCCAAACTGCAACCAAAAATCCACTTATGTATCATCGGGTGCCGGCTGGGCGTGGCCCATTGGGTAGGTGTGGCCCACATGGTGAGCGTGGCTGCAGTGGTAACGGCAGACTGGGTGGGACTAAAAAGTTCAATCAATCAATTCCAACTTTGCGAGATCTTTTTTTTCCCGCGAGAAGTTAAAATTGACTGATTGAACCTTTTTATTTTTTTGCACACGGCGGTGGAGGCCTAAAGCGAAACGGTTTCATAAAACCCAGCTGAAGGCCTAGGACTGGGGCGACGGCGCGCATGCCCACAGAGAAGGCTCTGCGTGCCACCTGTGGCATGCGTGCCATAGGTTCGCCACCACGGTCCTAAACCATAGTGAAAGAGAGTATCAAGTTAATTTTTTTCCCATCCAGCTCTTGGGAACATCTGCTTCTTTTTAATACCCTTGAGAAATGTGAAGTCACATTTAACATACTAAGCAATTTGGCATCCTTTAGGTGTTTGGACCACAACTCAATCAGCAAGATCATGGTGGTTGTATCTTACAATTTGTGGAAGGGTGTTGGGTTTCTCACCCTGTAGCAGGGCTTTGCGGAGCCAGAGGTTTCGCTACACTAACAGAAGTAGGTCATTTCCATTGCTGAAATTGGGTAAATGATCACACGTAGTGTGCTTGAATATGTCCCCTAAAATAATTATGTTGGGCTGCTCATTTCTGTTAAATAATAAAATGCTATTGTTGTAGTTGAGGTAAACCCTCCCCTCCCTTTCACACACGACGCAGAACCTCTCAGATGCCAAATGACATTCAGAATCTGCTGGATATTGAATGGGGAGCATTTCAGATAAAAGGAAATGATAAAAGGATCCCTCAGAACAGCCCAGCTTTCACCATCAAGCTCCTACCAACCTCAAACCAAGTATTTCAGTTGGTCAGCAAATGCAGAGCTGGGAGTTGTGAGTCTTCTGACCTAAAAATTATTCCTGTCAAGTTTAGGAGAGTGCTTTTTCATCCCAACTATTTTTTTTTGCTGTTAAAGGACTAGATAAAATTCTGATTCTCTATTATGCTTTTATTCATTATTGTTTCAACTGCTCTCATAAATTGACTTTGCCTGATTTCTGATAGCATTAGATCTTTTTTCACTTTTTCCCTCTAGTCCAGCCTTTTCTGCTATCTAAATTCTGTTAAGTTCTGAAAGGGGAGGGGCTCAGTAGTGTTTTCAATTTACAAGCCCCTTCTTCTGTAAGAATTCTGAGTATCTGGAGATCTTTTACTTCTAAATGATCTTTGGTAAGGGTTTAAAAGGGTAGCAGAAATTATAGCCAACCATCTTCCTCAGACCCTTTGTTCCTGCACTTTAGGAAGTCCCGGTAACCCAGAGTGATCCTAACTACATGCCAATCCATATGACAGGTTGTCGTGTTAGGCACCCAAATTGTTTGGACTCAGGTGTTCTCAGCTCACAAAACTTTTCTGTAAGTGTTGACTGGGTTGTGGTTGGACATGTGTACAACATCCTTCCTGGGGCAAGCATAATTTATCTATAGACCATGCAATGAGAATGGAACATAGATGTAATTCCACACCTCATTAGGGAATAGAAATCTAGTAACTTGCCATGGCAGTGCTGAAATAAATTTGATGTTTCATTAACAGAAGTGAGTTCATTTCAACTGCAGACATCTCTGGAAATTTTATAAATCAAGGATTGCCAACATGCAAAAAAATAATTACCAGAGCACATGCAATGGTGACTTTGTTTCTGTTAGCTAAGACAGATTAACATGTGTAAGAAAATAGCTAGAAAAAGCAGAGGTAGTCATTGCTCTTTTCATATTATCATCTAGTGTCATATCAGACTTAAAAATAATAATTTTCTGAAAATGTACCAGAAAGCTACGTTCATATCCTATAGTGCAAGTTCTCTATCCAAGGCAAGGTTTTGTTTTTGTTATGCAGTTTTCTTGATATACCACTGATTCTCTTCTTAGATGTGCAAAGCAGCTTTAAAAATGAAATTATTACAGAATTCTAAAAGTATCATGCAGAATTTTACCTTTATATAAGCTTCTGCCTGCAGAGCAATTCAAATTGGGTTGCTAATATGAAATCAAGGAAGTCCGAGCAGGTTCGTCTTTTTAACTGTAATAAAGTTCATTTTCCCTCCCTCAAATACGGTGAAGAGGGACAATTCTAAAAGCCCTGTTTAATCCTATGAGGCTTGTTGTAAAAAACATATTTCTTCAGAATATAAAGCAGGCTTCTCTGAATAAACCAAATAGAACATAAAAGGGGTAAAAAGACAGATTTCACAAGCGCAGAAATAACCATCCATACTAATAAAAGCTGGAAAGGTGCAATCTCAAAATATTTTTACAAAAATTATCCCTTTTTTCAGAGTCTCTTGAAGAAGCTTCAGTATTTTTTAAAAATCAGTCACAGCTCCCTTTTATTAATTTTCATGAACTATGAGTTCCACTTATATGAATCCTTTGTGACCGTATTTGCCAATTTTCTTAAGACTTGCTGAAAGAAGCTGACAGGATCCAGACTCAGTCAAGCTTTCCAGATTACTGCAGGAACCCAACTGTCTCCCTGTAGATTCTCCCCTCAGACCAAGTGTTGGCCTGTAAGAAAAGCTAAGGCTTGGCCTTAGTGTTTTCACTGAGATTGCATACGTTCTTGCCTGCCTTATATATTATTAATTAAATACTATGAGACGAAACTTTCTTTTGACTCTCTTATCCTAGCAACAGGAAACAGACGTAGACTTATTTTATGCTCTCCGGAGACATGGCTAAGTTGGATGTTGTCTGAGAAAGCAATCTTTTCTGATGCAATTCCTCCCATTTTTTTCTGTTGGCCACCACAGAGTCCAGCATAGGCTTCAGTTTTCCATTCACTTTCACCAAGGCCTGAGAGAAAGCACAAAAGAAGCAATTGTGAATTATTAGGTTAAGATGTCGGTTCCAGTTCAGATAAAATGGAATATTTGCTCACAGACTCCATGGGAGAGACTTTCTTCTAGAGCATTTAATGGACAGTATTGTTGCACAACATAGTCTAAAACATTAAAAGAAATTCTGAAGGAGACAGGGGGAGATAGCTAATATGTCCTGGTGGAAAATGAGATAAATCAACCAGTAAAAATGTCTTATCTAAACAAGCAGTTAGTCTCTTATCAAATCTTGACAGTGAGGCTCTCAATAGAATAGTTTTTCCACTTTATTCTAACAAAAAATGGTGAGATAAGTTTTATGTGAGAGCAATTGACCAAAGATGGTCCAACCCTTAAGCCAATTAGATATTTGTCCAGGGACTCCCTGGCCTTAGTCTTATTCTAATCATTGTAATGGAGGAGGATGGGCAACATGTTCTGTATTTGGCCATGGTAGACTAGCTGGTAGGCTACAGAAGCCTAGTAACTTTAAGAGGCAGGGCTGAAGTATGTTTAGCAATTTGGGTGCTTTGTAAGGATGAGTTTGGGAGTGTGTAAACCTGACACCTGGCCTATATACTGATGCCCATCCTTAGGATTTTTTTTTAATTCCACAACTGCATTGCCAACGTTTAGGCAATTTCCTGTCAAATTTCAGCAGCCCAATCTCAGAGTCATATGGGGCTGCAAAGAACTTGGATCAACAGGCTGCCCTATTGTTACATGACGCGGACACAAGTAGGTCTGATTGCCTCAGCATGGTTTTTTTCAAAGACTTTCCCCACTTGGGTCTCCAATTATGTGTAAACACATAACATTCAAAGTATGTGAATATGCATGCAGAGATTAAGAAGGGAAATTTTGTGAACTAGGTGGGCCAAGTCTTTTGGACAACTTTGAGATTTTAGGGATTTTTGAAACTGCCTCTTTGAAATATTTTACATAGCCCTATGAAATTAAGAGGCACTGGTGGATTTTGCTTCCTCTGAACAATTTCCCAAATGCAGTTATTTTTACTTTTACATTCAAAAGGGCCTAGCTGTATCTACAATGCTGAAAGGCGTGTATTAGCAGCTAAGCATGTAACTCCTATCAAGTAAATGAGGATTAGGAAACAGTTTAAGAAGTTAGAAAGGACAGCCTTCTTAATCTAGAATCAATGTCTAGATCAATTTTATCAAGCATGTTAGTTTGGAAATTCTGGGAGTTGAAGCCCAACAATCTTAAAAGTTGGTGA